ACCTGGATTATGATGCAGGAGAATGCTGTCAGTGTGCTCCATGATACAGTGGCTATATTTGAAAAAAACATGGGAACCCTGGGCTAACTACAGTACATATGAAAGTTGTATTGTGATTGCTCCTTTTAGGAGAGGGTGGTGGGTGCCTTCTTGACAATTCTTTCTGAACCTGTCTTTCTGAATCCTTTTCTCTTCCTTTTCCTTTTTTTCTTTCCACTCTGGAATTCTGTTACCAGTTTCTGGTGCTAAGAAGGATATCTCAGGGAGCTGTTTGGGGTGACTAGTGCTTGGTTTTTTGGGGAGTTGAATGGTGGTTCTGGGATGTCGAGCACTGCCCTCCATATTTCTATATGTGTTTGGGTGTAAATTGAGTCTTTTAGATGTCTGAAACTATGACACTTTGTACACTCCTAAGTGTTCTTTTATCATTCCTTTTCCTGTACCAGTGTGATTTGACGGTAACTATGGTTATGTGTTATGTTGAAAATTCAATAAAAATGTATTAAAAGTAAACGCCCATTGAAATATCAAAATTGGATTCCAGCAAGCACAACAATGTCAACATAAATAACCCACTGTGACCCCATGTGTCAGGAATGGACTTGTCAGTAATGCTGGGACTCACCTGCCTTGTGGGCTGCAGTACCAGGGCTGGCCAGCGGGTGCTCCCAGCAATCAGAGACTCAACCCTGCAGCCAGCCAAACACCTGAAGCTGATTATGCAGGTGTATTTAAGGGATGGCCAGACCTGCAGTCTGGGCCTTGGTGTGTGTTTTGCTATGGGCCCCTGTATCTTGTTACCTGCATTCCTGTTCCTGTTCCTGTCTGACTGATTCATTGCTGACCCTGCCTGATCCGGACCTCTGCTGACTTCTCCTGTTGTATCCCTGGTTTGTGACCCCGACCATTCTCTGCCTGACCCCCCTGTACCTACCTGCCCGTTAGTTGCTGTACCCGGCTCGTGACCTGACTACTCTCTGCCTGCTCCTCCTGTTCCTACCTGCCTGATTGTTATTGAACCCGGCCTGCCTGACGACGCTTGCATCGTATGTATTGTTATCTGTGGGTGGTTTGGTTCGTTTGCACTGTGTTATGTTTTAGTATTGCACTGCGTTTGTTTTGTTAGTGTTAATAAATTATATTGTTTATAACATATCTGAAGCCTGCGTTTCCCTGCGTCAGTTCACATACCTCTGGTCATACCCTGGAGCCCTGACACCATGTGACTGTTACCATCATACATTGCAAAGCATGTTTGCACTATTACAATCTCAGTTATTAAAGGTAAGTTCTTCACACCCAGGGGTGGACTGACCATTTGGAAACTCGGGCACTGCCCGAGGGCCCGGGGGGTCAGTAGGGGGCCCCATGAGGTGCCCTTGGTACCTTTTTCATAGGCTTTTTTGAGTTTGGGCAATGACACAGGGGCCCCATGATCCCCTATTGCCCGGGGGCCCCATGAGTTGTCAGTCCACCTCTGCTCCCCCGTTGGTGATACCGCCCCTGTTCAAACCTGTAGTGTCAACTTACTGTTCTTCAATTCAAGTGAAAAATTTTTGTGTGAGATAGAGGCATTAGACACCCTCAGTAATGAAGATTCTTTGTCATGTTTCTAGATATCTAGGAAGTGTTTAGAAAGACATTGTACATGTGTTCATTCTATTTTAGGAGATGGTTATAATAATAGTAATAAACTGAAACATTAACAGTGCTCTAAAAATAAACTTTATTGTTAAAATAGGCACCATAAATGTAGATGTTAGCTCCCTAGTGACAGGAAGCTTAAAGTATCTCAATTAAAGACTTGATAATGGCTGAGGGTAGATGATTTCTTACTAGAACCTCTAAATGTATATGATGATATTTTATATCCTAACCAGTGCCGGGACAAGGACATCCAATGCCCAGGGTGAAAACCTAGAACTGAGCACCCCCACGCCCCAGCATTGGTGTTAGTGGCCACAAAAAATAACCTCTGCTATTGGTCCCAGTTACCACAACAATATACCCCAGCAGTGATCCCCCAGTTGGCGCCAATCTCTCTCCTTGGCTGGGAATAATATCATGTCAGTCAGAGGAGCCGACTGGGACTAACCACCTTCACTGGTCGAGTGAAGATTACTCTGCTGGGCAGTAGAGTGCTGTCTTTTGGTGCTGCCAAGGAGCAGGAGATGCAGGGACATTTTCTGAATGCAGTGAGACTATGTACAAGATCATACGTTAGTCCCTCTTCCTTTTCCTGTGTGCAGGTTTATTTCAGTCAATGTATAAACCGTATTAAAAATATGTGACATTAACAATAAGCATTAGGTTAATCTTCATTGCTTTACAGCGAAAAAAGTAGAAACACTGTGACAAAATGTGAGTATGACTAGGGGCAGCTTGGGCTATGGTCAAATAATAAGCACTGCAGTATGAATAGCATGCTATGGCAAATAGTGGGCGCAGTCAAGTTGTGCCTAATAGCAAAAAGAATCTTAACCACTTCAAGTCCGGTCAC